AAAATAAAATTTTGTAAAGAAAGCTTAACGCAATGAATGAATTTTTGACAAATTAAAAGATAAAGTAATAATGATACATATCATCGAGGCATCATTAACAATAAATAAAAATATAAATTTATATAATTTCAAATCATAAAAAAGTATCAATACCACATATGCAAATGAGAAAAGTGAAACAAGTGCAGATACGTACGTATGTACGCGCGTATACTTATTAGCACGCACTTCACTTTGCACAAATATCTAAAAATATATTAATTTAAAAATGTTCGAAAACTTGTTTTTTCTTCTTTTCTTTTCTGAAGAAGAAAAAACAGCTGCTTGAACAGAAACTAAGAACGCACGCAATAGCAGTTGTTGCTAATATAATCAATGTTTTACAATTTATGCATTTTACTTTTCTTCCAAAAATATGAAACAAAAGCTGTCATTAATCACCGGAACTTATCTAAATCAATTCACTTACTGACACTTGCATGCAGGCGTTCACGTTTACGTCTATGTTTAAGTAAGTAAGCACTTCTGCGCTATTATGAGAATAATAATAAAATATAGTGTGTTTAGGCAAGACAAAAACTTTGATTTAAGTGAGTGCAATAATAAATTGCTAAAATGTATATAAATAATTTTTAAAGAAGTCATTAACGTGAAATTAAACTTTCTTACAGTAAAATGAATAAATATGTGGCAAAGAATTAAAAATGTTTCAAACTTACTTTTTCATAAATAAATAATAACAGTTTTACTTCGTATACAAAAAACAAAATGAAATTAGTAATTAATTCAAAAAATTTTTGACAGAATAGAAAAGATTTAACACTGCTAACGCCTGCAAAAGTTAATTAATCAAACAAATTTGAGCATTTTAGAAGACATTTTTGTGAGTTTTTTGAATAAATAATAATAATTGAAGAATTCATTTTGTGGAAAAATACAATTAAAATTCTTCGAGCCAAAATATAAGACAAAATTAGTCATTTAGTAAAGACAGAGTTTACATTAAAAATTATAAAGTCTGCAATGACTTTAGAGAATTTTATATACACTAATTTCAAATCAATATTAATTAAATAATTATACGATTATTTTATTATCAGGCAACTTCATGCGATATTAGAGGTTCTAGAAATACAAAATACTAATAACCAAATAACTGATATCTAAGAACAGAATGAAGAGAGTACTTTCTGTGAACACAGCAATTTTAAGTACAGATTATTGTACTCAATAAATTTCTAATAATAACAATAATAAGCATAACAGTCCATTTGTGGGAGAAAATTTAGTACTAATAATTGATTTCTGTTGGAAGAAACTTAAAAAAGCTTACATTATATCATTTAATTAATAATCAATAATTAAAAGACATGCTTTATTTAACTGTTATGAAAAATTATGAAAATTTCTAACTGCCTACAACCTTTAAGTATAAACATGGGTTGATTTAATAAATAGTCAAATTCAATCAGCAATAGCCTAAATATATGTATGTAATCAAATTAAAAGTCAAAAGTCAAAATTTAGGTACTCTAAAAGTAAGAATTTCGTGCAAATATCAAGCAAGGGTCATTAATCAAAGAATTAGTGTGCACACAGTTACTGCTGGATGAGTGATCTCAACAAATCTTAACTGCTACAGCCAGTAGTTGCAATGAAATACGCGCAAGTGTCGATAGCTAAAGGTCATCAAACTGGTATTTTCAGTGATCAATGGTCATTAATCAATGGACAGTGGTTATTGGCCACTATATGTAACGTGCCATTAGCAAATACCTGATATGCCCCCCAATATACACACACACATGATGAGTATGGCGTAGCGAAAATGCGAGAGGGTACAACTCAAATAGCAACTTTGAGTGTCTGTCTATAAAGATATGCCTCTTTCTGTGTGTGTGTGTCTGTGTGGATCTGCGTTCCTTCTACATGTCTGTACGTGTCTGCACGTGTCTCTGTTCATGTCTGTGTCCTTATACATCTGTCTGATTTACATGTATGTCCGAGCATATGTTTTAAATGTGCATGTTCGTACACGTACTGGTAGTTCTGTGCACGTATATACGTCTCCATTTGTGTGAGTGCTTTGATCTACAAGAGGAATATATTGACCAACGTACGTGTGCTTATGCTTAAAGTAAAGCTGTTAGATTTTCGTTGTCTGAGAGCGTTTCTTTTTGACATAATTAATTACAGCAAAATGTGCGCACTCTCAAATACAGACATAAACGCGTGCATACACACACACGCACAAACTTGTACACATACCCGAAAATGTTTCAAGGCTATTCATGCAACAATATTGTACATTATTTTGCGTCTAGCGAAGCGTACTTCGATTCTACGCGCCATAATTTTTGACGCTTCAAAAGCATGATATTTAAATTAAACTAAGACTTTTTCTACTAGTATTTGTTGATGAATTAGTAAGTGCGATAAAATTAAAACGTTAACTTTGTTGCCATGGGATTAAATAATTTTTAATTGGTATTTTGCAGATCTTTTCTACTTGAAAATATCATAGAAGTGAATACGCAAGCTTACGTTACAACGTATGTGATAATATTTGATTCAGATTGCCCCCTCTACGTCCAGCAATAACTGTACATTAAAAAACAAATTGGGAAGAACGTTGCTTACCATTTTTCTGCAAATAATGGCATTCGTAATTCCACATCATTTCATTATAATTGCCTTGAAATTTAAAACATGGATTTTGTTAGCATTCATAAATTGACGAAATAAAGTCATAAAAAGTTTATATTCAGTGATGCAATACTGGTCGTGAAGAGCATGTATGTTTTTTGACAATTATTTTAAATGATTCAAATACCTATTCATATTCCACTATGTACTGGCCAGCTACAGAATCCGCCTAAAATTAGAACTTTCATTTTGAATAATTAGTACTGGTCAGTGGATAAAGTGAGTTGCCTAATCCATACTTTGCAATTTCTAACAATTTATTAAACTGATGTGGCACAGCAACATACGTTTTGTTAGTATGTGGATGGATATGAAAGAGCTGGGAATGGTGGAAAAAATTTTCTAAAGAAATCTCAGAATATTCAAAATTGTAGCGATGTTCTAGGAATTAGGAACACAATTTTACGAGAGTAATTCTCTGAATCACAGTTCTACCAACTTTGATTTATATCAGCTGCACCTATTGCTACAATTGCTACAGTCGTCTTCTAATGCCTATAAATGGTGCAAGTTGAATGTTAAACTTTTTCTTCACCACTCTCTCAAACAAACTTAGAATATTTTACTGGCAGTTTTGTAAGTATTCATACAATAATACATTATTGACAGTATTATATTATTGCATTTAGACTATAATCATAGTATGCACAAATTGAACAGGGTGTCAAAAATCGAACGCAATTAATACTAAAATTGGCATGATTTTCAAAGATGTATAAAGTATGTATTAATATGTATTATATTAATATGTATTAAATTGAACGCAATTAAATTATTAATATCTTTTTCATTAATTAATATTAATATGTTAATATGTTTTTGTTGAGAGTTTTTTCTGAAATTAAACTTCCACAATCATAGTTATGGCATTTTAATTTCATGCATATGCAACTAAATCTAAAGGCTTTGAATAAATTTTACAACGAAAAAAAATGCATTCTTTTGGAGGCAAAAAATCAAAAAAAGGAGGCAAAAGTCAAAAAAGGAGGTAAAAAGATAAAAAAAGCACTGAAAGAATCAGTTTTTTGAAAAATTATCACATAGTGCTTTTAATCACACTATAATGTTTGTACTCAAATGAATAAAAAAGAAGCAATTATTAATTTTGTTTTTTTTCGATTTTTCTTTTTTTCACAAACTTAAATAAAATTACAAAATTTCCCAGGCATATTACTTTTACTTTGTTAATGCAATCCTTCAACATTTGTATGGCTAACGAGCAACCGTTGCTTACATACTGTACATTTTACTAAGCTAAAAATGTTCCGTTTAATTTTCCAAACATTGTGTTTTTGATTATATTCATTCAATTACATTAATACTGATGTGACTAGAGCATAATTTAACTATAACTTTTGTAGTAGCAAAATAAATCCTTTTCTAATAATTAATAGTAAATTATCAGTGATAAGATAACAATTGTTTCTAGCAAATTTTAAAAACTTGCCAAATTTTAGTAATGTTACAAAAATAACTATTTTTATAGTCAATAATTCATTCTGATTGAATTTAAAATTGTTAGGATTTTAATATTAATAGAGATCACTAACACAAAGATCTATGTGAGCATAATGGATAAAATATTTTGCTGCGTTATAAGTATTTTTACAAACGTGACCCTTATATGGTAATTAATGAATTCTTTACTGTGACAATTTATAGTGATAAATAAAAAATAATAAGTAAATAGTTAATGTGCAAAGATTATATTAAAACTTTCTATGGAATTAGGCGAGTCAAAGATTTTGAGATTAGTTTGTTATTTCGATAACAGGATATCTCTGTCTGCATTAAGTAAATAATAAACTTTTTGAATAATTCCGTTTATTACTACCATGAATATCAAAAACGAGAAAATGATCGACAATGTACATTGAAATAATGTTACGAAGTATTTTTGACCCCTTTGAAACTTCCAGCTATAAATCCCGATCAATTGAAAATATAATGAATGTCAAATTTAGATTCTGGAATCAGTAAAAGGTCAATTCCTGATATAAATATTTATCAAAAATGCCACTGTAATGAATTACTTGCACTCAGCTAGATTATCACCATTCATGAGCATTATCATCAAATAAATGTCTTATATCAGTAAAAAGGTGCGTGATACATTACGTGATATACTCTGTGTAAAATTCTTCTCAAAAATATTGCCATAATATTCCATGCCATTAGTTTTTTTTGCGTCATATTATACAAAACTATTTTTAATAATCTGGAGAAAATGTATACGTTTTAATAATTTATTATAAAATCACACGCACATTTGATGCATTAAATAAAATGATTCTTTACATAACAATTAAATCTTCAGAATCATTCATTTTTATGGGTAAGAAGCTGATACGTTTGTGTCTCGGTTCCAAAACAGTGCAGTATTGTTGAAGAAATGGAATCCCGAGAACAACTGGATTACCTACACCCTGACGTGTTCTGAATGCCAATTCACAATTTCCTCCCTGTAAAAGTATTCAAGTTTTAATTATGCGCAATTTTGATCATAATTATTTGAACTACACAAATTATGAATACAAGCGAATATTCATGAATTGATAGAATGCAGGGAAGAATAAACCTCATGTTCAATGATGAAGTATTTGGTATCAAGAACAAACGTATTTCTTGCGGTGAATAATTTGAATGGAGCAAATGGCTGCTCACAATCTACCATATACTTTCCTGTCGTTTCATTTTTCTAAAATATTTAATAACTTATTCAAATTCGAAAAAGTTCATCGTGCTTGATTATAGAACTGAGTGATATAAATGTTACCTTACCTGTGCATTGTAATTTTGAACAATTTTTTGCATAAATTCGTGTGGTACAGCAATATACGGTTTACGAATGTGTGGGTACGCAATAGTTCTGAATACTGAAGAGAATTTCGCATTTCCCAAAGATATCATCAAATATCTAAATTCATAACGTTTTTGTGTAGTTGGAAGTATGAATTCAGGATTGTAATTTTCTGAATTGCATAAAGTTTCATCAATTGCACCTATCGTCAGTATACCATTACCCATTAATTCCTGAAAATAAAAGTATCAATGTCAAAATATTTGAGCATTAATTAAAAACTCAAGTAGGGTTTTTCATAAAAAAGAATTGCAGAATATGAGATAATAATTTCAACCATTTCAATTAATAATAATTTTGATCATATAAATTAATTAAGGTAGTAAAAAGATCGGAGAAATATGTGAAAAGCTTTTTTCATAGATTTAATCATAACAGTTATTTTAAAATATTACATATTTTGGGAGTGCAACAGTAATAATTTGATTTAATCTTCCATCATAGATAGCTTTTGTAATAAGGTTACGATCCAGAAGAGATAAATATGATAAGCCAAGAATTCCATTTACTCCTTGATAGTCTTCTCTATCATTCCAGATAACTGAGGTAGCTAAGCAAAATGGTGCTCTTGGTAAAATTAATTCTTGTCCTGTTGCCTGCTCAATCTGAAAAAAAACCTCAAGTAGCTGATTATTAAAAATTGTTACCTTCTGATATTTTTTAATAACTTTTTGTCAAGTTAAAAAATTAATAAATGAAAAACATACAGTAATACAATCTTTGTACTGCATAGCAGTAATTTGCATCCCATAATACCTACTACTTCGCAGTCTACAAATATCAAGTGGAGACGGAAGTGAACTTAGTATCGACGAGTTAGCCAAAATATTCGCAAAAAATTGATGAGGTTGTCTAAATTCGTCATAGTTTTACACAACTTTTTGAACTTTGAGCATTAATTTTAGAATACAGTAAGATTACAGAGTATTTAGATTGCGATTTAAAAGCATTTTATCAATAAAAGTGTTACTATAAATCTTTACCGAGTGAAGATAGTATCCACCCAAAACAATGATGAAACGGTATCAAGAAGAACTGTGAAATTCTTTGCTGGGGTGCCGATTCCGATCTCCATCGCATATCCGGTATGTTGCTGAGATAATAAAATTTATTTATTTATTGAGAGTAATTAGAAATTTCAATTTGACTTGCAGAAAGTTATACTCTACTCAACGTACATTTGTTTTAGAATGAACCGGCTTCAGCTCGATACGATATTCGCAAAATGTCATTGGGAACAAAGTTAGTATCCATAAATTTAACCAAAAACTATCCATTTTCTGAAAAATAAATGCTTCAGAGTATTAATTTGCACTCAAAATGTAAAACAAGTATATAAACTGGATATCAGTACTTTAAAAGCTAACCAAATGGATTAAAAATTTGTAATAAAATTTGATTCTAATTGGTTTTTACAAGTATTGTAATATATCGCGTCATCAATGAAATAAATTATTTCAAAAATATTAGAAGAACAGTCGAATATGAAAGTTATAAGTATACAACTCTAAATATTTGGACAGTTACTTTTATATCACTGTAAAATAAATAGAACAAAAATTGAGCAGTTACATACAATTGTTAAAATTTATGTAAAAATTACAATTGCTAATACTTTTATTTATTTGTCAGTGCTAAGAAGTTTTCTTTGCTATTCTCTCAGACAAATACAAAATATTCTACCAAAGATTAGTTTTGTTTAACGATTACATCTGCCAAAAATTTTATTCCTTTTGGCATTCACAAAAGTTTAGAATTTAAAAAAGAAATTTTCAATTAAATGCATAAAAGATCTCCCGATCATTTTATTCTTTTGCTAACAGCACAACACAATCAGAAGATAAATCTGAATTTGCTTGGAATATTGCAACCAATTTTTGCACTCTAATTCAGATATGTATACTATTTTTTGACAGCAAATTTATGAAGCCAGAATTTTGTTCGAAATACTTTATACTTTTTGAATTCTGACGTAGATAGAATGATTAAAATGCTAGAGCTCAGTAAATATCTTTCACAGTTTTTAATGAAAAACAATATTGGATTAGGCATATTTGTTCCTTTTTAACTATAAGGAATAAGTAAAACTTTTGTAAAAATTCATAAATTCCGAAGGAACAATCTGAAATTGCATGCGAGAAACCTCTGTAACAATAAGAAGACAAGATTGCATTTATGACTTCTATTTTAGGAGAATTGTAATTTTAAGCAAACCGATATAAAACTTTTGATACTTCAACATGACATGTTTTTTTAAATGCTCACATTCTGCACCAGTAAATAATCCGTTAAGCTTCTTCACTTGTGAAAGTAATTGTTCTACAAGGGTTGTAGCGTCTGCAGAATTCTGCTTCTATTATGTACGACACACATAAAATTATCAAACTGAACAATTTCAACTGAAATAGACTATGCATAAACATAAATATTTAAATTTTTATAAATGCATGGATGGCCAAAAATTTAATCGAAAATTTTAAATTTCAATAAAATTACATTTGTGTAATTCATAAAAAAAGTCGTTGAATGATTGAAGTTTTAGCTTATTTACGTAGCATTTTACTTTGCAAGCACTGACTTCTTACGTTTTGCTGCGTCGACAAGATTTTCCTTTCTTTTGTCCGTTTAACTTGAAGGACTTAACACAATGACTACCGTCTTCAGAATCCTGTTCTATCGTTATAAACAAGAGAAAGAGAATAACTGCAAATTTATATTTTTCACATATAATTTTGTATTTGGCAAATATTTTTTAACTCACACATTCTCACATTTCAAACAGTACTGATTCCAGATTTTATTGATATTAATTCCTTCAATTATATTTGAATTGATTAACATTTTTTCACTCGGTGAAACAAAATACTCTTAAAAATTTACCTGAAATAAATCAATCAACTGCAAATGTTTCGGGAATTTTTCGAAAATATCGAAGTTTTAAAGCACAGTTAATTTTTGATTTTTGCCAAATATTCGACTTGAGAGAAAAATAAGTAATAGAATGTTCGACAGTGCGCTAAATCAAAAGAAGTCATTCTAGTAGTACAGATGTATTCAGAACAGACAATTTGCATATTTTCTTAATACATACATCACTGATGTGTTGAAGATTGGCACTGAATCTTACTGTAAATTTGACAAATAAAACCAATTAAGTGAAATCCATTTTGTAAAGTAAATGAATACCAAAATTGTCTTGAGATGGGATAGTTGATAATGTGAATTGAAATATTTTTCATCTATAAACTCACAAATACATTTTTGTCCGCAGCTTATTTTGCACCGAGAATTTAAGCAGCTGCATGTATGAATTTTTTTCCAATGGTGTCACCAAGTATTCTCCAAAAAAATTCCATCAACTAAATTCTGCAACTTGCAATTTTTCAGTAACTTTTGTTTACAAACCTTATATAAATTATAATAACCATGTTTATTTGTCAAACTTACAATCATAAAGGTTACAAAAGAAGTCCTATATTTTGATTCCCAATAGACAAAAATTAAACAATATGATAAGCTAATCAAATATTTTGATTCAATTGACTACTTCAAATGAATCCTAATTCTGAAACTGCACGTGTTAAAAAAAACAACGACAAAAAAGGGCACATGGATGCCAGGAGAGATAAAGGACGGAAGTGGTATTTAGAATATATACATTCAACAGAATGTTATCTCTTCAACATTCATTTTCATTTCATTGTTTTGTGACGTATAATATGCACAAAAAACAATTTATTTAGCAGATTATACCTATATATATGATATTAATATCACATGGAAGTTAATCTCATTTTCCATTTTACTGATTCAGACGCTCGATCGTATTCCGGCACTCTGGCTGTACTTGTTCCGCTCTCAGATTGCTCTGATCTCTGTTGCTTCTCGCTTTCCAGTGTCTTCTTGAGCATTATCGATTTGATACATGTCTCGACGTGATCAGATATACTGATTTCCTTCGCGTAGCGTTACGGAAGCTCGTTACAGTCAAATACAGAATTACTTTCGTCCTGCACTTCGTCTCCGACGCCAGTTTATTAGCCAGTAGATCATATTTTCACCTTTTCTCTGTCTCAACTGCTGTCAACCTATCTTGACTAGTGATGCCCTCTATCAAGATAGTTCATGCCACTTCTTATCGCGGATCATGATATCTGGTCAACCAGTACTTATCTTCATGCTTTCAGACCATACTTTTTGCAAAGTCCTAAATGGCTGCAAAGCTGGACTTCATTGTGTCTTCTAGTATAGTCGTGATGTAACATTTTTTCGCACTGTGTTGCTAGATGGTCCAGCGTCTTCACACGTTCCCTACAATGTGGGCATATGCCTTTGTCAGTTCCAAACATATTTCTGCCTTACGGTGACAGTATCGCGTTTCATCTTGTCGGGAAATATTTCCGAATAGTAGCCACATTGATGAATCTGACATTGAGGCTACCTCATATCTGCGCATCATGTATAATTTTGCAAAAAAGAATTTTCTTTTCTATTTCGCTATATAGAAGCGTTTTGGGCTGTTATTAGGTTTTCAGATTGTCTGCGAGGTTGTATTGAGTCAGAAGGTGTAGGGTATAATAATGCTAAGTACGTGTTGTGAGCTTTCTCCTGCCCCAAAATCGCCGACCTCCTGGAAGATATGAGCGCTGTACAAGGACAATATGTAGCTTGAGAAGCATAAGCTCACTCTTCTGCTCAACATTGAAGTCTACGTCCTAGCTCGTCCCCTGGTAGGTACAGTCTTTCCAGGCATGCAGTTGCTCTTGGAGGGATACTATTCCATAGTATTTACGTTCTTCAGTTCTCTTATTAGCAAATACCTCAGTATTGATAGCTATCTTTGATGTATTCATCTCTACTATATAAAAAAACCTCTGAACCTCTTTAGCTATAAGTTTCATTACATCCTTATCCATTACAATAAACTTGAAATCATCTAGAAATAGTAAATAGTTCTTTATGTACATTTTTTGATCGGTGGGAACCGTCACTTTGAGTACTTGTATTGAATATACGGCTCCATACGCAAAGTGAATGGTGGTAACCGTTCTTCGTGATTATTCTCTACCGTCTATCTCACGTCCTTTGGCTGCTCTAATCTCACGTTCTTAGCATCATGATCAGCTCTTCTGCTTTAGTCCAGATAAGCGTAATACTCGACAGGTGTAATGTGTCTTGCATGATTAGTTAGCTCCTCAATGAACCGCTTCTGTAAGTGCAAAGAAATACATAGTAAAACACAAAGCTATATAAATATGCAAGTTTTGTAGTTTTTGAAAAAAAAACTTTTATGAAAATTTTTTTGACAATTCTAAACATCCTTAGAGTATAAAACAAATACTAATCCTTTTCTTGGCAATTTTTTCAATTTCTTCACAATCAAGAACTCTTCTCTCCAAATTTCGTATTCTGTGGATTGGTTTGGTCGAAAACAATGCGCTGCTGCAAAAGAAAGGTTACTGTATAATAAACGACTCACGAGTTGAACTTTTAGACCAAGATAATAGTAAGTTGGGAGAATGGGTATTGCAATAAAACTTCTTAAAATTATAATTCATAATTATGGCTACCAATTTTCACACTTTATCAAATTTTAAAGTATGCAAATTTTTTTACTTACTAAATTCTGCTTGATTTTCATTTTGCACACTTTGCTAAACTGAGAATACCGCATAATTAACTGGATTGAAAGTATGCCAAATTTAGTTGATCAAAGAATTGTTGTATAAATGTTGATTGAATATCAAACGTAGAAGGAATGAAATGATGTGTACACAAATATCTGAATTAAATGTACGAGGATTGTTATGCATCATTTAAAATTAATTATTTGAGTAGAAAGAATTTTCAAAAATAATGAAATGTTTGGATGTTTGTAATTCAATGACTGGAAATATTTTGCAGCAAAAAAATGAGTAAATAAATAAAAATTAAGAAAAAAATATGACACAAAAATACAAGAATTACAGTGTTAATGTAAGGTATAACTTTTCTCGCCTATGACGATTTCATGGCTGAAAATTTAACAGATAAAAATGGTTATTATAATATATACGATTGTATAAATGAAATGAC